AGGAGAGGAGAGAGAAAAGCGTGCGCGAGATGCGGCTAGTGTCTACAGAGACTTTTTTCCAATGGACAGTGAGGATAAATCATCCCACGCCCACGGCTGAGTAACAGAGCGTGACTGTGAGGTGGTGCAGCCCTGACTGGTTTGCACTGTTGCCTCGAAATATCCCCAGTTAGCGGCGTGCTAACTTGGCTAATCGGAGTTAGCCATAAAGGCGGACTTCGCTGGATGTCACCTGACCTGCACAGAGTGGGAGGCTACTGACTGCCAAGGCGGGCCGATCAGGTTTGCTGATTAAAAGGAGTAAGCTTGCAGCTCGGCGACCTAAGGGACGGACCTCTCGGCGTGCCGTGAGTGTATTGTGGACAAAAGACTAAGGTTTCCAGGTAGGAGCACCATTTTGTTTTCTTTTAGGACCGTTGGTTCCTACGCACCCTAGCATCGATCCAGGCCTGCACCGAGGGGACTTGGGAAACTGGGTGGTGTGAGAGTGTGTGTGTGTGGGGCCCATTACAGTAAAGAACTGTGTAACTGTTATTATTGTTATATTTTGTCATTGCAAGAGACTTTTTACTTCATTGATTTCAAATTCTAATTTTATTTGTCACGTACACAGTCATACACAGATTTATTGGGTGTTTACCAGTTCATTCAGTAAACCTGCTTGGTTTAAACATAAGATTTAAACATAAGATTTTGTGTCTAGTACTGTTTCTTATCTATAGTTCAAAGTAAGGTAAAAGTGTATCTGTGTTTTATACGTGTGTAAATCAGGGGAACTTTCACTGAGGGCAACTAAGTAAGTTTAAGATAACTAGAACTCAGGGCGTACCCGGCTATAGTGGAGTACACAGTCAGGGGCGCTACATATATATATATCACTGACTTTCAGCTTGTTGTGTTTGTGGATATATGACTGACTTTAATTATTAAACATTCGCACATAAATAAGTGACGTCATATTCAGTATGAATCTTCGCTCCATCTTATTAGGGAAATTCCATATACATAAATGTAAATTTCAAAACTCAACCCCATCATTTAATTTGTTTTTGATTGAAATTGAATATTACTTAAACTCTCTTAAATTAACTTCCAATAAAAAAGGTTTATCATTGATTGAAATTCATTCAGAAATGTTTAACGAATGAGCTGTCACAACTTTCAAGTACAAAGTTGTTATGAAGTCTGTCTCATTCCCCCCCTTTTTTTTCTTTTTTTCTTTTTTTATCCTTTATTAATTTATCCTTCTTATTTCATTGTACTGTATATTGTTACTCTTATTTGCCTTGTATGTCTACTGTACAAACTGAACTGGAATGACTGACTGTTCGCTTTATAAATTCAATAAAGTTTTGGAAAAAAAACCTCTTCGGCCGCTCCCTTCTGCCGTATTTTGAAGCAAAATTATCCACACCCACCGCCGCGCTATGAATTGTGGGATATATGGGACCACGAAGCGTGCAATGGACCACGCTTGATATTTGGGGAAATCGACGGCGCATTTGGAGTATACTTTGGATTGGGACAGCCGTCGTCGCGTGGTGGTGACGTAACCGCACTTAAAATGTGTACTTCAAGCGTGCAGACCCTGAATTGGGACACAGCCTGTGTCTGCCACCCCTGCTCTACGCCTTTGACCAGTTGATAAAAAATGATGGTCAAGCGGCCTGCCCTTCTGTATTTTGTAAAGATTATAAGTAGTTGTAAGTTGATACATTTTTATAAGTTAACAGTTATATTGTGACTGATTATTGTCACCGTCCCTCTGTCCTTGCTGGCTGAACCTGCCATTTCTGTTTGTTTCCCTACATCCCAGAGCTCCCTGTCTCTCTCTCCCTTTTATCTGTGTTTCTGTGTTTGCCTGTGTCCTAGGTTTTGTACAGCGCTGGGGTCTGAGAGGTTCCCTCTCTGGAGACAGCCACACCTGCTGATGATCATACTCACCTGTTCCTGATGAACCGATCACAAGCGGTTGTTGATCAATGGTCATGACAATTTGCATATTAATGATTGTGTTATTGAGTTATTGTGCAAACGTAACATTTATAACAGGAGTCTCAAACTGCAGTCCTCGAGGGCCAGTGTCCTGAGACCTTTCCATGTGTCCCTGTTGCAACAGACCTGAATACAATTAGTAGGTCATTAGCAAGAGTATAGAACTTGACTGCATGGTGAGGTGGCAATTCAGCCATTTGATTAATGTTAAAGCAGCTCATGAATGAATGAACATGGTGCAATAAAAGTACTTTCAGAAGTACTTTTTTCTAAACACCTACATTTACTTAAATTTACTTGAGTAGGGTTAGGGGTTGCCACTTCAGCATGCAGTCAAGTTCTATATTCTTGCTAATGACCTACTAATTGTATTCAGGTCTGTTGCAACAAGGACACATGGAAAAATGTTTCAAGACACCGGCCCTCGAGGATTACAGTTTGAGACATCTGGTTTATAAGGTTGGGGAAACCTGCAGTCCACTGAGACTGAAGAAGTCACTTGGATGAGTGATGAAAAGTTTCTCACACGGAAAACGCTGCATTCAGATGAACAGAATCAACTTTTCATCAAAGTAAATTCAAACTTTTATAAACATTATAAGTGTTTAAATAAACTAAACTACCATGAGTATCAATTTTTCAGAAAAGTTTTAACAAAACTCAAGTAATGTCATCACTCAGAATATAAAGCATGAGCAGGTTTTATCATGAGCATTCTGCAGAGGGTCTGTATACAGGTAACACCGATCAACCAATAATGAAGTAACTACAGTCTAAACAGTTTAAGGTTTGAGTTTCAAGTAGTTAGTTTTCCATTACTCACGACTCTGTTAAGACTACAGATAATCTTTAAATACATCAGATTTTTATAGTAATCTCACTTCCTCCACACAAGTTGACACACACAGACTTATAGCAAGACAAACAATTGTCTCTGTCTTGTGCTGTAGTGGCATCACAGGGCCTGTTTTCAGTAACCCTTCCCTCTTCACAACTGAGTATCTTCTTTTCATACTCATCAAAATCTCCTGATCAAAATCTCCACATTAAAATTAGTTATTACTGTTCGTCTTAAAATATGAGAGATCGCATTTTGATTCTCTTTAAAAGCTTTAAATAGCTCTACAATTAGAATTAAAATCCATCTTTAACTTTAGAGTGTCTTTGTTTCCCAACATTTTCCATAATTTTCCCCTTAATTATATTCATTAATGAAATGGAGTATGAATGTGTGTGAATGCTAGACAGAAAGCACTTAGAAGAAGGTGCTTGCGCGAATGGGTGTGAATGGGTGTGCAAGTCATGTTGTATAAAGTACTTTGAGTGATCCGGGAGAGTAAATTAAATTAAAATTTTACTGAATACTGAAGGTCTTTATGGTTCAAACAATGAATTCAGTCTCAAGACAATTGAAGATTTATTCTTGAAAAATAGGCTTACAGTATTGATACATCTGTTTAGAAAACAGGAAGTGGTGGGCTTACATTGCTACATGCTCAGTTAACATTTCTGGCATAAATCATCTATCATATGATAGTGCATCCTTTCAAGCATGAATACAAAGAGAAAGGATCATACTAGTTAATAAAAAAGGGTAGAAGCTATCTGTTGAAGAAAAAGCTTTTTTATATTACATTTTTGTGGGTTTTTTTAACACTTTTCTAACATATTTTTACTGAAGCTGATATGCAAATATAAAGCAGAATGTAACCATTTGAATTTGGTCCCCTTCTTGATTTCATTTCATTGTCTGAAAAATAAGAAAATACAGGTTTGAAGTATATACGTACGATTTTAAGTTCAAGCAAAGGAACAAGATACAGACACAGAAGGGAACAGGACTATTCTGTTTCTGTCCTTTGATCCAGTAGGCTGGAAGCCTTCAAAGATGTGAGGAATAACAAAGCACGAGACACAAGGAACTTTCAAAAGTGAAAAACAACTAAGAAGAAAAACAAAATGCATAATGTGTCTCTAACTCTACATCAACTTCTAAGACTTTGTAAAATGAAGGGGGAAGCGAAATCAACCAGTGCGAAGAGGACTCCTGCAAACCTAATTCGACACTTATGATCAGACTATTTTACTTGTATTTAATTTTTATAATTTTAAAAAATATGATGAAATCAGGACTGTAAATAATGCTGAAAGGAGCTTTAAGTTCAAGAGAAATGAAATTCAAGAGTAATAACATAAGTAATTAAGCAATAACATAATAAATCTGTCTTCATAGCTCACCTTCAGCGTCTTCCCCTGATGAAACCACAGACAAACAAGAACAGAAAATGAGATATCATTTTAAATTTAGTATCAAAAACAACAAAGAAAAACAAATCTGCCCTGTTGCTTGAAATGACTGTGAGACCATTGAGGCATATGTGCACGGAAAGTTAGTGGTGAAATAAGTGGAGAACCAAAAATCCCTTTGGCCTTTAATCAGAATGGCTTGAATGGTTTAATTTAATTAGAAACGTAATCTTGAAGATGTGTGTGGATGTACAATTCCAAAGATTTTGCAATTAAAAAAAAACAACATACATGCGTATTTAATGCTCCAAACTGTAAAAACAAAAGAAAAGAAACATTGTTTTCTCACCTACGAGATAACCTGGAAAGCCTGTTCCACATGCTGTGATAAATAAAAACAATCATTATATTGTTATCATATATGATGACAGGCTCAGAAACCAACTGCATCTGATCCAAAATATTTTTCTACTTACGTTCCTTCTTGATTTTGAAGCTCTGCAATGCGGTTCCTTAAACAGAACAAAAAAACGTATATTAAAGAGCGTACTGTAGAACTGATGAGAGGAAAAATGTCTCCTCCTTGTTAACAGAAAGCTTGATTCTCTATAAAATGACTCACTTGTATTTTTTTGCCATGAAAATGCAGAAGATGCCAAAGAGCAGAGCTGTACCAATCCCCACTACAGCAGGAATGATGATGTGATTATAGCTCTCAATACCTGGAAATACACAGAATTTATGACATCATTAAGAATGCATACAGTCATTGAAAGATACTTTTAACAGTGATGTTAACATTTTCTTAATCATGCAAAGTTAAGGTGAACCAACATATTGGAAGAGAAGAACTGAAAGGATCTCACGTTTTACATTCAGTGTGAATTTTGAGGAGGATGTTTGCCCTCCATTAAATCCAGCTGTGCATGTCAGCTCTCTGTTGTCATCCTTCTCCTCAGGAATAAATGTCAGGATGGACTGTGTCTCCCAGTTGCCAGAATGAATTAGTCTATGGTACACAATGACCCTTTCTGTCTTCCAGTTCCATGTAAGTGTAGGTACATGGGTTGGACAGGTGTGCATGACTGAACAGATGGCAGTGTAGGGCTCTCCTTGAGTGGCTGCCATTGGCTGAGTCAATGTAGGCTCTGCAGGCTTAGCTGAAGATGAAAAAGGCAGACATAGAGTAAGAGACAAAATGATTTAACAGAAAACTGGTATAGATGTTTGGAATTGGAAGGTGGAAAGTCGGTGACATACTGAGCATGTTCAACTCGACGCAGTCTTCAACAAAGGAGAACATGTCCTTGGTGGGGTCATTGTTTTCTGTTCGCACTAGTTCAACCCGGAAACAGAAAGGGCCATTGTCATGATTTCTAATTTGAGTTATTTCTAAGGTGCAGTTGTTCTGGCCCAGATCTCCCACAACCCTTGTTCGGCCCTTAAAGCTGTCCTTAATCAGTGTAGCATCACTATGAAAGATGTTGTTTCCTTTAGTATCTGGTGTTTTGCCTTTATAGTGCCACATTGCTCTGAGTCTGGAGGAGGGCAGGTTTCCTCCAGTATGGGAGAATGAACATGGTACCACAACACAGGATCCAACCAGAGCGTCAATGCTTTTTACAACAGTGGCCTTCCATTCATCACTGGACACGGAGTTACAGATGGCTGACAGAGAATTAAGCGAATGTCACTTATAAAGGTATAGAGCACTTATAAAACAATTGTAAATAAAAAGCTGGCTCATTACCTGCAAAAATCAGACAAGTTATCATAAACTTTGCCTCTTTGTCCATGCTTCTCCTTTGTGTAACACACTGGAAAAATACATAAACTGAACAAATTAGCAGTCAAAAATGAAGCAACTTGAAAAATATATTAATATGAAATTCAAATAATTAAGATTTTCATATGTATTACTATATATACTCTCTGTATTTTGTCACTGCCTTGCCTCTGTCATTTATATTTTGCCTGTTTTAGTTTTACTTGTATGCAGCAAATCGCTCACTACCCTCAGTAGTTCCTTATCTTTGTATATTTAAAGTCTTTGCCATTTGACATCAAACTGTAAGAGGGTATCAGGGGTTCTTAGAACCTTCAGTGACTATAAAATATAAAAAAATAGACATGACCAGGTCAGAGCTTCAAATCTGGCAGTATCTCTATGCTTTGACATCATTCATTACCTTGAAATTCTTAGTAAGTTGCATAAGCTACAGTATTGCACAACAGTCTTGAGCCACTGTTCATTTCTCTATATTTTGCAAGGAAAATGAGAAATAAGTGCAGATATTTACTAAAATATTTACCAACACATGGAAATACAGCACATAAAGAAAAAACAAGTTTTTGCAATTCTAACAAACTTAAAGTTGATATTTGGTTTGAACACCCTTATTCTCCAAGACAGCCTTTACTCTTTTATGCACGCTTTCTTGTTATTTCACTAAGAAGTCTTAAGCAATAGTTCTCAAGGCTTCTTGAAGGACACTGAATGCTTTCTTTTGTTCCTTCCTCTTTCAATGCCAATTTAGCCAATGTCCAAAGAAAAACTTTGAAAGACCTTCAGAGAACTATTTTTCAAGACTTGTTATCTAATAATCATTTAATCATATAAATATCTTACCTGCTGTCTGGCTGATTTATATAAGGCTGATTTATATAAGGCTACAAAACACTTTAGCAATGTGTCTGAGTCTTTCAGATCTTTACTTTCAAATCCCCCTCAAAGGGACCACCCACTTACCTCTGACTGCAGACAGAAGCACAGCCTTCTAATTGTTTTTTTTTAAAATAAAATATGCTTTTCTTTGTGACATGTTAGTTAGTTTCAGTTCTCCATGAACACTTTATCTCACTACAATAATCTGTACCCTTTTTTCTTCCCAGTTGAACTAAGATAGTGATATCTTAATATGATTCCATATTTTTTTCAAAATATTGTTTATTTGTAAAACACCAAAACATCTGTGGAGAATAGATCAGTGTGCCATGGAGCAAAGGCTCATTTCTGAGAAGTATTACCAGAAATTAATAAGGATACCAACATATTGCACATTACATTTAATATGTAACACATGGATTTTATTTTATATTTACCTTATCTAGGTTTTACTAAACTCTAAATTAATAAATAATAATGGGTGGGACAGTTATTGGTATGCACTATATTACCACACTAGTTTCAAATCCAGTGGCTGGCCAGGGCCTTTGTGTATACAGTGACATGCGCGCCGTGTTTCCTGTGTGACTTCTGCGCCTTTCTTCCACAATCTAAAGACCTGCATGTTAAGTTAATTGGTGATTTTAAAATTGACTTTAGGCGTGAATGTGAATGTGAGCTCAAATGGCTGTTTGTCTCTCTATGTTAGCCCTTTGATAGATGGGTGAACTGTGCAGTTTTCAGCCCACCTCTATCCCCCAATGGATGGAACAATAACAATAACAACAACAGCAATAATAATAATAATAATAATAATAATAATAATAATAATAATAATAATAATAATATAGTCAAAACGTTTCCGATAATTCCAACTCTATCCATTTTGAAGAACCTAAACTTAATTGTCAGAGTGCAATTTTTGCTAATTAAATGCAATTAAGCAACTCATCATCATTTTACTTCCAGAAACAATAAACTTGTCAAACAGACAAGTTTATTGTTTGTTTGACAAACGCAATTTACCTTTTCACTTGTTTAGATTCAATTCAATGTCTACTTTAAAGATATATGTTGTATTTAACTTGTGTTTGTGCCATTTTGAAATGGCACATTTGAACCAGTGAGCTATTTTTGATTTTAGCAGCTCATTGTCTATGCACAGGAAGTGACTGGTTCACTGTGCAAGATCTAATCGTGGAATAAATGCACATGTTCTGTGTGGGTAAATTTGTAAAATCTGACAAAAGCAGGGCAGCTTCTTCCTGTGTTAAAGGAACAGAGTGCATTCAGGTACGTTTGAGGGTGCAATGATATTTTGAAAATATGCATGATGAAAATAAAATAACCTGGAATTAACTCAAAGGCAAAGGAGAAACTTGCCTGTTATCAGCAGATACCCACCACTAAACATATCTAAATACAGTTTGTTGAGTTTCTTCCGCTGATACAAGGCCAACAGTAATTTTTCTATCTGATTTTAAAAGAACTTTGACAACATCTGAACTAATAGTAAAAAATGTATTAATAACTTACTATGCATTTTTTCTCATTTATTGTGTTAAATGCTTGCTTCTGATAAGGCCATAGAGAAAGCAGAACAGAAAATTAGAAAGCGTGTTATCACAAATAAACACTCTATTTCTGGAAGCATGTGGGGAAATTACTGTGAGCCCAGTGATGCACTGGGGTGTGAAAGCTGAAGTTTAAAGTCTATCAGTTATCAAAAACGGCTGCAGCACCCTAACCAAAAAGAGAATGACGTCAAGGTTGTTATTTTTAGTAAAGACAGATCTGTACGTCCTCACATCAACCCAAAGAAACAGTGGTATTCATCTATGAAAAAGTCCCATATGCTAAATGTAATCTATATATTACTGCATAAGTCACATACTCACAACACTGAAGCAACTGAGTGCACACTCAGAGAAAGACTATAAACTGACACTAAAAAATATATTTTGTAGCTGGGCCTCTAGAAGAAATCTTCTTTCATTCTTTTAATTTATTTCAGTATTGCCATAGAGTATTTATATTACATAAAAAGAAAAGGAACACATAGAACTAATTCGTCTTGATGCATGCTCAGTCATCCAGGTAAGTAAATCCCAAAGGTTGATTCTGTTTATCTGAACGTAACGTTTTCAGTGGGAGAAACGTTTAATCACTCATCCAAGTGACTTCTTCAGTCTCAGCTGACTCCAGGTTTCCCCATTCTTATAAACAGTACATTGCATAATGACTGAAACCAGCCCACTGAAGGAACAATGGGCTGGGAGGTCAGTTCCTTAACCTTAATTATGCACATTCTTATAACCATTGATCAACAACCACTGACCAAAACCCACTGATCAAAGACCACTGATCAATGGCCATGCGTATCATTCACAGAGAGTTGGGGAATGGCTGCAATCACAGCATTGTAAGATGGTGAAAGATGTACCCTTAGGCCCCTCCTCGATTCAGAGATGGTCTTTCCCTTTTCACGTAAATGGCCTCCTTGACTCCGCGCTCAAACCAGCGTTCCTCCCTGTCCAGGATGTGTACATCCTCATCCTTGAAAGAGTGTCCACTGGCCTGTAGGTGTAAATAGACTGCAGAGTCCTGGCCTGACGAGGTAGCTCTTCTGTGTTGTGCAATCCGCTTCACCAGAGGTTGTTTGGTTTCCCCGATGTATAAATCCTGGCAATCCTCCTGGCACTTAACAGCGTACACTATGTTACTCTGTTTGTGTCGGGGGACCCGATCCTTGGGGTGGACCAATTTTTGGCGCAGCGTGTTTTGGGGTTTAAAAGCCACAGAGACCCGGTGTTTAGAAAAAATGCGTCTCAACTGTTCTGATACTCCTGACACATTGACACATATGGGATCACTACAGGTTTTCGCTTGGGCAGCGGTTGTCCTTCTCTCCTGGATCAGCTTTCTTTAAGTGCCTTTCCAGCTTTGACAAAAGTCCAGCTGGGATAACCACATTTACTCAGGGCCTTCCTGATGTGCTGTTCTTCTGCCTCCCTGGGTGCTGTGTCAGTGGGGATGGTGTTCGCTCTGTGTTGTAGCGTCCTAATGACACCCAGTTTGTGCTCCAGTGGATGATGAGAATCAAACCTTAAATACTGATCCGTATGTGTAGGTTTACTGTACACGTCAGCTTTTAGATGTCCCCCATTACTGATGGAAATCTCAGTCTAAGAAGGCTAACCTACCACTTTCATATCCTCCCTGGTGAATTTGATGTGTCGGTCCACCGAGTTAATGTGATCCTGGTTTGAGAGCGAAGTCAAGGAGGCCATTTACGTGAAAAAGGAAAGACCATCTCTGAATCGAGGAGGGGGCCTAAGGGTACATCTTTCACCATCTTACAATGCTGTGACTGCAGCCATTCCCCAACTCTCTGTGAATGGTACTCATGGCCATTGATCAGTGGTTGTTGATCAATGGTCATGAGAATGTGCATAATTAAGATTAAGGAACTGACCTCCCAGCCCATTGTTCCTTCAGTGGGCTGGTTTCAGTCATTATGCAAATGTACTGTTTATAAGATTGGGGAACCCTGCAGTCAGCTGAGACTGAAGAAGTCACTTGGATGGATTTCTCCCACAAAACGCCACGTCCAGATGAACAGAAACAACTTTTGGAGATAGAACTAATTCATGAGATTAAAATCAATCATTGACTAACAACTTAAAACAAGTAGCTCCTTATATTTGATTTGGCATACTTTTACAGGAATGCCCTTTCTGACACAAACAGAGAGTGGTGTGTGTCCCCTCGTGATTCCCTATTTTATTGTATGTTTGTCACACAAATATTCCAGATGAACTAATTTAAATATTAGACAAAAATACTACAAAATGCTCTTTCTAAATGACAGCGCTTGTTATTAAGTGGAAAGAAAATTCAAAGCTACATGGCCCTGTGTGAAAAGGGATTGTCAACTAAACCTGATAACTTGTTGGGCCACACATAGCAGGAAGAACTGCAATAAAGTGTTTGTGATAACTGGCATCTGAAATATAAATCTAATACAAAATGTTTCTTGCTGAATTAAAAACACAGTGTGTGTTCTTTAATAATGTAATAATAAAACTACATAATTATAATGATATGTGTATCAGGTAGTTTTTAAAAAAATATATATATATATAAGCCTTTCAGAAAGGCAGAGAAAAGCCCTGTAACTTACTTTAAAACTAAATATGTTTCCCAAAACCGTGAACAGAGCTACAGACCCATGATACCCTTAACCAGGTTGCTAAACCATTCACAAACTTACACCTATGGGCAATTTAGAGTTACCAAATTACATAACCCCTCTAACTGCATGTCTTCAGAATGTGGGAAGGTCAGAGCACCTGAAGAGAACCCATGCAAACACAAAGGGAACATGCAAACTCCACACACTCCACACCCCGTCCCCCAGGGCATGAAACAGGTATGGAGGAGATCCAGGCCCCAGACAGAGGCCCCAGAGTACAAGGACCCAAGGAGGACCACCAAAGGGGCAACCGTGCCACCCTCCTGGGAGAGGGGGTTGCAGTGACGTGCCCGCGGGCTCTGCCGGCAGCCAGCTGTGCCAGAAAGGACCGAGCCCCAGGCCCAGAGGCCTGAGGGCGCCCCACCCCCCAGAAGGGGCCCAGCTGGGCCACAGACGCCAGGCCCCACCAAGCAGCCACCAGGAGTGAGCAGATACTGTACATACATGAGCTCCCAGCCCCAGACACCAAGAACCACCAACGCACCGACGTCTGAGGGCATCAGCCACCGGCAGGGAGTGTGGTGAGGGGAGATAGGTCTCCATACCTTGGAGAGCCGGAGATGTTCCCAGAGAGGTGGAGTCCAAGACCCAACCTGACATATAGACACAGACGAACAGGCACACACAGGCACAAACATGCATTCCCATCCCCATATACACATAAGCAAATATTCGGCACTCACCCGACGTGGAGACAGACAAATAGACATTGTACCCAACAATCACACTTCCAATAAACTTACTCTATATCTCAGGTCCAGGTACCCCTGCCCCCAGAGGGGCAAACCGTACCTAGACCCAGGAGATGTAACTAG